TTGAAGATACCAAAGTAGTTGGCTAATTTTGGTTAAAACCACATGAGATATCATTTCACTTAACATGCAACTAGATGGCTATTAACCAAAAGACAGGTAATATCAAGCACTGATTTTAAAAAATGGAGGAAATGGATCCTTCATTCATTACTGTGTAGTTTCTTGGAAAACCGCTCTACTTTGCAAAATGTTAAATATGGAAATACATATTTCATATATATGTATATATGAGTACCAAAAGTACCTCTCTTTGGTGTGCACAAAAAGATTTGACAGTTTATGTTTCAAAACATCAGAGAACGTGTTCACAGTTTTCTCTAGTGCTGTGTGAAAGTTGTTCCTTTGCTTGAACTAGAAAAGGCTATTTTTGTACAGTTTGGAACAGCTCTATTCATTCTTCTGTGGATCTTTATACAATACTCATTTGAAAATGTGTAACTTCTAGCCCATCAACAGATAAACGGACAATGAAAATGTGACATACACAATGGAGTTGTAGTCAGCCATTCAGAAGAATAACATGGGATGGGATGGGGAAAGAGGGGAGAGAATGATGCAAGGGGTGACACTGATCAAGATGCATCGTGCTCGTAATGATTTGTGGAACTGAAATCCTTTTGTACAATGAATTAATAAAAGATAATGAAATGGTGTCTGTTATTGCAAAATGGAGGGAACTGGAGATCATTATAATTGAGTGCATTAAGTTAGTTGCACAAAGATGAGTATGACATTTTCCCTTGTCTATAGAAGTTAGGGTAAACAAAATAAAACAACAACACAAAATCCAAAATAATGAAAGCAAAGACAGCTAGAGAGGTGGAAAGGGTGGGGAAAAGAAGAGGGGCTAAGGAGGGGATAAGAAAGAGTACTACATTGCTATTTACCAATAAAACATTCATTCTTTCATGAATTATCTCACTTCAAATTTTTTGTAGCTATTTTATTGTTTCTTGGGTAAGCACAACAAAGCCAGGAAAAATGATGTGAGGAATAAAATCAACCAAATTGCCTAATACAAGTCCTCTTGATGCATGCTAACATTTTTTTCTTGATTGTCGTATTTATACTTCTATATTTTTCTAGATAGTGAAGGTGATAAATTATCATCATCTACCTCATTAGGCTACGGACTAAATATGGCTAACTCTGAGAAGATATTTCCTAACAATAATAAATATTTCATGCAATCATCCAAAGTACTTTTTATATAAAAAAGTACTGACTTGCTTGCCTTTGATTCTAGCAGGAGAAAAAGCAAAAGTCCTTCCTTTCTATTTCAGAGTCTGAAGGATAAGCTTTTCAGGCTTTCAGAGGTGCTTTCTTATTTCACTGAACTCATACTTTTTAAAAGTATTTTTTAAATAAAAACACACTTCATAGGCATAGAATTTAAAGTCATTTAAAACAGTAAACACCAATGCAAAGCTCTCAGGGGTAGTTTAAAGTTTGTGATTTCACACAATATCTCATTAATTATTCCCTTTATAGAAAAAGCATCCCCTGGTTACTATTTCATACTTTGTGTGTGTGTGTGTGTGTGTGTGTGTGTGTGTGTGTGTGTGTGTGTGTGTGTGTGTGTGTGTGCTGGTCCTGGGACTTGAACTGAGGGCCTAGGTGCTGTCTCTGAGCTTTTATGCTTTACTATGGCTCTACCACTTGAGGCACAAAGCCTCCTGAGGAACTAGTATTACAAGCTTGAGTCACATGCTTTTTAGAAAGATATGTATGCATAACTTTCACATTTTGGAGGAATAAGAGAGGTAGGGTTTTGTTTTTCAGAATAATGCTGACATTTATTAGGAAATATTCTTAACAAAAAAAGATACATTTTTTTGAAATATAAGTAACCTGGAATTGTAAGTTCATTTTTACTTATGATGTTCATAAACAAATTATCCTTCTTCAAAAAATATTGATGAAATTTGTGAGAACTCTCAAAGGAATTGGATTTAGAGGATTCAATTCAGCTGACTTACTAGTGAAAAAGTGTTAAGTGTTATCAAGGGAGGTATCTAAATTCAATCTTCTGTCATCAACGACAGTAAAACAAACACCAAAGTGATTTAAATAGCCTATGGAGAATCTTACTTTATCTCTATATACTTAGACAAGGATTTTGAAATGAAAATTGTAATTACCAATGACAGTCTGCATTGTACGAAATAATTTTTTGATTATAAACTTGTTTCAAAGTGATTCATTATTACTAGATATGATTTAGACTAAAGATGAAGTTTTAAAATAAATTCATTTTCCATAATTTTCCTTTTAAATTAGTGTTGGATTTTTTTCTAGGCATGTTTAGTTCTTTTGGGCACAACCCTAATAAAGGTTAAAGAAAGGAAAGAAAAGCTGTCCAGTTTCCCTGTTACCTTTCAAAAGCTACCTTATTTCAATCCTCTCCTTTGACACTGAGGAAATAAATTGGCTTAGAAAAAACCATGTTGCAGTAGTTCTAAATATTTAATGCTTGGCTGAAATGCTGGTAGAGGGAACAGGTGTGGAGGTGAGGAAAGTTGCCTGTCAGTGTGGGAAGTCACAACTCAGCATTGGCTTCATTCATTCATTTATTTTTGTGCCAGTCCTGGTGCTTGAACTCAGGGCCTGAGCATGGTCTTTGTTTTTGTAAAAGCTCAAGGCTAGCTTTCTAACAATTAAGCCACATCTCTACTTCCCTTTTGTTGTTGTTGGTGGTGGTTTTTTGTTTTTTTTTTGGTGTCAATTGGAGATAAGAGTCTCAAGGACTTTCCTGCCTGGGCTGCCTTTGAACCACTATCCTCAGATCTCAGCCTCCTGATCTCAGCTTACAAGTGTAAGCCACGGGCCCCTGGCTTTCATTCTTTTTAATAATGAAGCTGAGGCAGGAGTCCAAGGTGAAACTCTGTCCCCAAGACTCACCAAGAAAAATAAAAAACAAGCAGTAAGAAAAACCTGTTTTGTATTAAAAGAAGATTTCACATTCAGTTTGTTAAAATCTCCAACTTGAAATTTGAATATTGTGTTTTTCTGTAGGCTAAGGAAGAGTGATATATTTTCCTCTTGGAATCTTGTGACTGTATTACATATTGTGACACAGATTGTGATGTTTCCTATATTGAGATTATTTTTTATTTCAAAATTGTTCTTTGATATGTAAAATGGTGTTCATAAAGGACAAAAGATAAACTTCTGCAGGCTAAAAAAATATTACAATTAACTTTGTGCTGGACTTCATGAAGGATATTTATATATTAGCCATCTTTTGGTCATTTTGAGTATCTTAGTCACATTAATTTGCCAATTTAACAGAGCAAGTAGATTTCATTACTATTGTGTTGATCAAGATGAAGATGGCTTTTAGGGAAGTTTTATTCAGCCTTATAATATTTCCTTGTCAACCACAATAACATAAGTACACACACACACACACACACACACACACACACACACACACACACACAGATACACACACCATTCATGTATATTATAATTTATCTGCCAATACTAACAGAGCTCAGATAAAGGAGGAATAAGGAACTGACAATCAAGCACTTTAAAAAAAAAAAGTACTCTGTTATTCTCTTTAACATGACCAAGATAAAATCTGGTTTCAGTTTCTTTGGACCAGAAAGACATTTCATTGAATTTCCTCAAGGGCAAAAAAAAAAGTGCATAAAGAAAGTTTGACAAAATATTTAAAAATAAAGTAGCACATACATATAGTCAATATGCAAAACAATTCATTAGGGATTTCATTTGAATCTTCCTTCTCTATTTTCCATCCAACAACCACAAAACCTCCTTATTTCTCATTACGTAGTCATAATATAATAGACACAGTAAACACAAACAACTCACCTTCACTGCGCATTCCACTGGGGCAGCAGAGTCTGACTGGCCCCACAGGAGTAACTAAAGTCTTACCACCACATCTTAGAAGCACTAGGTTATTATTGGCTCACTCGTTTATTCTTTGAATGAATTTGAAATTAAACACATCAATCGCAGATTCATTCAAAGTGATATTTATGAAGCCTAAGTATTTTTGAAATACATCATTGCATTTAGCTAGTTTTCCTTAGAGATCCCAAATACCACAATGAATACAGACAAAACATTCATGGAAACAAATTACCTTATGTACAATTCAACCTGATTCCTCTCCATAAAAAATGATGAATTTATAATATGAAGCTTAAAATATAGATTAATATTCAATGTAATGCTCAGTTTGCTAATTAGGCATGGCAGTACATCATTTAAACTTTACAATTGCAAACAAAGTCACAGTGTTAATATGATCAGTCTCAAATATTCAAATTGAGGGATTTATAAGCTTTGAGGAAGTTACCTTTTACAAAAATGAATACACAAAGGATAGTTTAAATGAAGACTCTACTCTGATCCTGAGTTCCCAAGTACAAAGAGCCTTTGTGATTGGATAAGAGTTAAAAGTAATAATCACTAAGAGTGAAAAGTGACCTTTCACTCCCTTAGGAAGTAATTGAAAAAGAAAGGGGCAAAATGTATCAATCTAACAACGCTCCTACTCATTCTATAGAAAATACCTACATTTGGAGCTCTTGATTTGAATATGATCCATTCTCTATATAAGTCAATATATTCCCCACATGCAATTAAGTTTTAAATTGCCTGCCTGTGCATCTAATAAGTGGTGAGAAAGGTTTATTGTTCCTGAGAGCAAATGGAATCATCATCAAAACTCAAAGAACTAAGACAAATAAGCTCATAATTATGTGCATATATTAAAATCTCACTATCCTCATGCGCTCAAATTACCTAGACTTCACATACTAATGTAAAATCCTGTCACGTTCTGAGAGGTTCATTTTATTTTCGTTTTCATGAAAATTTGAAGTGAGCTCTTCCTGGCATTAATTTCTTTGTGAAATAATAGCAATTAGCATTTGCTGCAACATTGACTATAAAAGTTCAAAATAAAATATAATCTATATAATATAGTGACAAATAATAGAAAGGAAAGCATAAATTCTAACCACTTTGTCCTCCTTTGGGAAAGCATCCAGGGAAGCATAAGAGAGGGAGAAGAAAAAGAAGAGAAAACAAAATGAGCCATACATTCATAAATACATTTCAATAAAACAAGCGTATATATTTTTCTTCAAAGCATTTTGATCAGTAAATGTGTTTGTTGGAATTCCACACAACCTACTATATGGTAGATATAAGATTTGAATATTGTAGTTTACAAAAAAATTGGACTAATGAATCTACTTTTATAATATTTCTCAAAAAAGAAGGATTGATTTATTACCATATGTATCTTATTATTGTGTTGCAAACAAATATTTTATTAAAACATAAATGGTGTTAATCCACAATCAATATAATATTATAGTCACAATTTAGAAATATATAAAAATGGGCAATGTTTGTAACAGATTATTGAAGGGAAAATATGTTAAATTTTTTGGCCATAAATTATTCCAAAAGCAATATTTACTTGTGATATCATTATGCCTAAGACAGAAATTTCAAGTTGGGACCTTTTTTCTTTGTTTCTGTATATTTTTACAAATTTGGGCTGTTTCAGAGATGGGTGAACTTCAATTTCCTCCTCTTCAAAGAGAAGTGCTTCCTAGATCAATTTTCTTTAAACACCATCTGCCTATGAAAACCTGAATTTGACCCTGGTGATTCCAACACTTATCAGTTGCTGACTGTATTGCTAAGGCTGGCCTCTGATCTATAGTGGGAATTGAGAGAACCCAGGAACTCTGGACCCTTGGTAGCAGTGGAACTCAGCTGATTCGCACCTTATGCTTCACTGCCAGCACCTTACCAGACTATGTGTGCCTTTACTTTTCAGGTTCCTAAGTGTTTAGATTATCACCTCAAGCTCTCACATCATTCCAAAGGATCTATTTAGAAACACTAAAAAAAGGAGAATTAACACATATATCTGGTGTCATTTCTATGTGCCAGACAGGATCTTAATATCCAAGCTTGTTAGATGTGCTTTAGGATAACCTATGAGTATTAATCATAATAAATAACTTTTCTGAGAAAGGAAAAAGTAAAATTGAAAGAAGCATGGGACTTAAAAGACTAACGAATATTATAAAGACATGAATTTAAATTATTTTTATTTTATTTTGGTAACGACTAAGGAATGTAATGAACTGTTGTTCAGAAAAGCTAATTATCTTCCAAAAGCAACAGAAATAATGACAGTCTTACTTTCAAATAGAAAACAAGTCTATTATACTCAGTGTCTTAATTCCATTGGAGGAGATTTTTTTAGAATATCCCACTTAAAACTTAAAATACCAAAGAGTAACATGTCTACTGGGTAGTTTATTTAAACTGCCATTTTCCAAATAATAAAAAGATGAAGAACATGCCAAAGTTTCATGTTGTTTTAAAACAAAACTGTACATTAAGTTTTATACCTGATTAGGTGATATAAGGAATCTTAAATAAACACTAGAAATCTTTTCATCTATGATCATCGTAACTGATTTATTATATGCAGATCCAACTAAAAGAAAACTCATCCAGAAGTAGAAATGGTTCTATTATACTAGCTGGAATATGGAATATGACAAACTATAGCATCCAATGTCTTCTAAACTAAGTGTTCATTAGAATTGGTCCAGAAGCCAGCGGCTTACATCTGTAAACTTAGCTACTCAGAAGGCTAATATCTGAAGATCACAGTTTGAAGTCAACCTGGACAGGAAAGTTTATAAGACATCTTATCTCCAATAAACTACCAAAAAATTTAAAAAGCCATAGGTAGAGCTGTGACTTAATTGCTGGTACTCAGCAAAAGGAGTTCAGAAGCAGAGACCAGGTCCTGAGATCAAATTTCAGGGCTGGCAACAGAAATAACACACAAACAAAAAACTATTGGCTAGCATTTTAAAGTGTCAAAATTTTGTGCTGGCCCAACAAGAGAATAGAGTTTAAGTTAAATAAAGGCAGTATATATCTATATATCTAATACATAGAACTGCACATCTCAAAAAATAAAAGTAAAAGGTGTGTTTTTGTTTTATCAGTCATGAGACTTGAACTCTGGGCCTGGTGATTACAGGTGTGATCCACCGGCACTTGGCGTAAAAGGTGTACTTTTTTGTTTCTTAAATAGCTAAAAAAAACTCCCGTAAGATGAATGTGGCACTATATTACTTTAATGTGTCAGCGATTTTAATTTTGAAATCATCATGGACTTTAACTGTTGCTTAATATATTATTTTGTGTTAAGTTTAATGACATACATAGTACCTTACATTTCTCATTAATTCATTCTGGAAACTACTGTTGCATGAACTAAAAATGGTTAACAAGAATTGATCTTAACAACTTCCTTAACCAACTAAAAGTGTAATGTTATAAGAACTGATTTTTTAAAATAACTTTCTAATTGTTTCCTAATATATAATGATACTAAATTTACATTTCATATTCTTCAGAAACATATTTATAGCTGGGCACTGGTGGTTCACACCAGTAATCCTAGCTACTCATGAGGCTGCTATCTGAGGATCAAGATTCAAAGCCAGCCTGGGCCAAAAGAGTCAGTGAAACATCATTCTAGAGGCGTGGCTCATGCGGTGGTGTATCAACCGTGAAATGAGGGGAAAAGGCTGACAGTGTACAGATCTGAGCTCAATCCCTGGTATTAGGACAACAAGCAAACAAATAACAACATCAAGGTAATCTGATGTTGATGGAACAAGGGTCATTTACTATGCTGCACCTGTGTGGCAAGTTATCTTTTTGGTGTGTCAGTCCCGGAGCTTGAACTCAGGGGCTGGGCTCTTTTGCTGAAAACTAGCTCTCTATCACTTTGAGCCACAGGACCACTTCTGGTTTTCTGGTGGTTCATTGGAGATAAGAGACTCACGGGGACTTTTCAGCGCGGGCTGGCTTTGAACCGCGATCCTCAGATCTCAGCCTCCTGAGTAGCTGGGATGCCAGGCGTGAGCCACCGGCGCCCGGCTGGCAAAGAACTTTGTAAGAACTACATTCATGCTCCGTGCATCACCTTCATAATCACAAAGAAGAACCCTAGTCATCCTTATTCCACCTTCCGAGCACACGAGCGCACGGAGGGCGGGTGTGAATGCGTGCATCGCATGGGGCACCTGCTCCCGTGCACACTCACGCTGTTGGACCGCAGGGACACGCGGCCTCCGCAGCGCGCACAGAACTTGGTCCGGCAGTAAGAGCACAGGTGTCCACACCCGTCCGCGAACTTGGTTTTGTGGCAGATGCCACACGTGGGCGCATCATCCTTGTGTTCGCCCTGGTAACGCCTGGCTTCTTCTCCTATTTTTCTCACTTGTTCTTTATAGCTTTCAAACTGTTGGTGCAATCTCCTGGGTAGAGAGAGAAAAACAAAAGAGGTAGGAAACTAAATAAATCATGGCAGGCAAAAGACATGAGCAACTTCTTTTTTTTTTAATTTTTAGAATTTTATTATTAAATGGTGGTGCAAAGAGGTTACCATTCCCAGAGTGACGTTATGTATACAAAGCCCCTGTCAATGCCACCGTTTCCACCTTTCTCTGCATTTCCCTCTCCCATCCTTACCCTCAGAGGAAAGCAGATCCATTTTTATACAATGAACATTGACTCTAATAACGACTGCATTTGCTCATCTTCCCTCCATTGTGTATCGCCCCCCCCCCCCCAACAAAAACAACAACAACCTTCCCGGAGTTCATTTTGATAAACAGTACCATTACTTGTTCAGAGGTGTTACACCTGTGGATTCCTCCCCTGACAATAGCAACTTTTTATAGACAAAAATGAAAGAAGAGGTATTTGAGTGAAAAAGTAAACATAAGAAGCTCTTTTCCTAACTAACCTACAAAAGTAAGAAATGTAATTAATGGGGTTGGGAAGGTGGCTCAGTGGTAGAGTGCTTGCCTTGCATGTATGAGGCCCTGGGTTCTATTCCTCAGCACCACATAAAGCCGGAAGTGGTGCTGTGGCTCAAGTGGTAGAGCACTAGCCTTGAGCTTGAAGAGCTGAGGGACAGCATCTAGGGCCAGAGTTCAGGCCCCACGACCAACAAAAACAAAAAACAAAAAAGAGAAAGAAATAAATGTAATTAGCATGTTTTCCACTAACTGCTCACCACTAAGTGTGGATGGTATGTGCACAGGAACTTTCCTGCGTTAGCAGTGGAATTCCTGTGCCTCTTGCTGGCTTTCTCATTTCGTTCAGTCAGATGCTTTGAAAGTATTTTAACTATAAATTCATCACATTAAGTTAGACCTTTGTGTTCACTAAAATGGAACAACGTGTTTAGCCTTACACTGTGTGGTTCCCTCTGGTAGTTTCTATCTGATTAATTTTTAAATGTTGATACCAAATAAAATTCAAAAAAGTTAACTCCAGTATCTTGTTTCCATAACCTCTCTTTGGAACATGATGTATACTTTGAAAAATATTGATTCAAACTACATTGCTAGCTAACTGTCTTCTTTTGGATGAGGGACTACCAAAGTTATTGATACAAGTTGTTTCCCAGAACAATATTCTTATTTTATAGGGTTCAAGTTTTGCCCTCTCTGCTGTTATCAATAAAACACTAGAGCACCTAAAGAATTCTTCGGGGGAAGGATGGCTTCCTTTGGCACATGAGAGCTGGGAACTTTGTCCTAAGCTAAGCCTGGCTCTTTGGCCAGGAAATCCCATAAGAAATGTCTGATCAAATTCACCTGTGCATCAGAGCTGGTTGGCTGGGTTGGAGTATCTGCTAAACACAGGATACACAGATGCCAACATTAATCTAGTCAGGTAGCTTGATGCAACTGCATCTGAGGTTACTGTAGGGAACTAGGCTCCCTAGACACAGAATCAAGTAAGCCTTGAGATTTCATTGTAATTTTACTTGTAACATCTAACAGCTCTTGAGAAGGACTCTATTCATTACTTTCTGCTTTGCCAATTGAATCTTTTCTTATTTAATTCTCTTAAGTAAAGCAAACACATGTATTACCACAAAACATAATTTAATATCTGAAACTAGTCTCAATTTAAAGGCCAGCTAATTTCATTTCATAGAATAATATATGTAAGCAACATTTTGTTTAATGAATTCAAGAACATGTTTGATACATTAAATATTTAACTGGGCACCAGTGGCTGAAGCCTGTAATCCTAGCTACTCAGGAGGCTGACATCTGAGCATTGAAGCCAGTCCAAGCAGGAAAGACTGTGTGATTCTTGTTTCTAATTAATCTGAAAAGACAAAAGGGGAGCTGTGGCTCAAGTGGTAGAATGATAGTTTTGAGCAAAAAACTAAGGGCCAGCACAAAGGCCTTGAGTTCAAGTCCCAGTACTTAGCACACAAAACAAATGTGATCATATAAAACAGCACTGAAAACCTTATAGATTATATTAAGTGAAATAATTACTGAAGAATTAGAGAAAAGTAATATTTCCTGTAAGGAAACAGAAATAAGGTCTAAGAATACAAAGACTGCAGGAATGAGTCCTTAGTGTGAGAATACCACATCGAATCTATTTCACTAAAGATAAATAAGCACAAAGCTGGGGTTAGGGAAGCACATCCCTATATTATAGAACATGATTTAGGGTGAGCATTGCTATACTTCAGTGCAAGGTCAAATTGTAAACATTGTAGGCCATATTGAATATATAGGTAGTCTTTGTTACAACTACTAAAGTCCACTACCCAGTCGGAAAGTAGCCATAAATTCTATGTAAATGAATGTGTGTAGATATAGATAGTAGGATCCAGGCATTGTGAATCACTTCTATACTCTCCACTACTTTAGAGACAAAAATAGTAGCTCTGTCAGAGACCAATACTAGCAAATACTCGATTCTCTCTGAAAAGCAAACTGAAATCAAGACTAAGGATGTGGCTCAAGTGGTAATGCACTTGAAAGTCCGAGCTCAATCTCCAGTACTGCCAGAAAGAAATAGAAAGACAGACAGACAGATGACAGACAAACATATAAGATAGTAGACCAGATTTGTTCATGGACAAGTTGGATTAGTTTGTCATCCCCTGGCTTAGTATCTGATTTATGTTAACATACAACAGTTTGAAAACCAAAGCCTCTTTGAATTTTTAAATTCAGATAGAAAAGAAGTCCAATGCAGGAAACATCTATTTCAAGCCAGATGTCAAGATCTCACTCCAGTGTCCTAGTTACTCAGGAGGTTGAGTTCTGAGGATCACTGGTCAAAGCCAGCTCTGGTAGGAGGTCTGTGAGACCCTTATTAATGAGCAAAAAAGACTCTTATTAATGGACAAAAAAGCCGAAGTGGAGCTGTGGCTCAAGTGTTAGTGCTCTAGCCTCGAGCTAAAAAAGTGCAGGGATATCACCCAGGCCCTGAGTTCAAACTGCAGGATCAGCAAACACACACACACACACACACACACACACACACACACACACACACACACACACACACACAGCACATTTATCTCAGGAAATCTTTATTTTTGTATGTCTTTGGTTTTTTTCCCATACTAAGTACACACTCCACAACTTATCAACACCCCTATCCATCTCAAAAACCTTTGCACCAAATATATTTTCAATGAACTCTGCATTAATATGAAGCCTTATTCCAACTGCCACTACAATGTCTATATATGACACCTGTCTTTTAAGCAGTAAATTTTAGAAATGCACAATTCAGTAAGTAGTTAAGCTGTATAAAGTTCATATTTGCTGAATAGAATATATAAATCTCATGTATGTACATATATATCTTAGTCTTTTGAGAAAAGACAATTTATGTAAGATAGTACATCTTTTACTGATAGTCTTTTGAGAAAAGACAATTTATTTGTAAGATAGTACATCTTTTACTGATATCAACTAGTTGTATAACAGGATTTCATATCAATGAGTTCATGGATGTATGTAATGCTTCTTGATCATGATTGCCTCTCTATTATTTTCCCCTTTCCCAAACCTGCTTGTAAAGCAAGCAATTTATATATGTTTATATCGAAGACAAAACATCCTGAAAAAAATCCTATCTCCATCAAACATCAAACATTCTTGGCAAAATACTTTTAAAATAACTTTTATTCATGTTTAAGCTGGAGAAGAAGTAGGCAAGATCTTTTTTTAATTTAAAAAAGCCAAGTGGAATAATTAGAAACTATGCCATTCAATGGTAGAAACAAAGTACCACTAATAAAGTACAGAATCATTACCAGACACGGATAAATCACATTAAAATGTGTGTGTGTTTGTGTGTGTGTGTGTGTGTGTGTGTGTGTGTGTGTGTGTGTGTGTGTATGCTCCTGAAGCTTGAACTTAGGGCCTGGGCACTGCCCCTCAGCTTTTCTGCTCAAGGCTGGGACAAAGAGCCAGAGCTCCACCTTCAGCTTTATTTGGTAGTCAGTTGAGGTATTCTTGCCAGGCTGGCTTCGAACTATGATCCTCAGATCTCAGCCTTTTGAGAAGCTAGGATTACAAGTCTGCATCATTGGCTCCTGGGTGCATTAAAAAATTTAAACCAGCTAGCTGAGATTTAGAAACAGTGTAGTCAAATATAGACACAGCAAGTTTGAAATAAAATAACAGAAATTATTCCTGAGATAACTGAGTGAAAATAAACAAAGACATAAAGCCCCTGGTACAACATTTAAGAACAGAAGCATTATTAATAATAAAGAGCATAACTTAGTATTTAAAAGTTTTACTTTTTTCATATATGTTGTATGTGTGAAGTATTTCATATTAAAAGAGAAAAATCCACTTTTATCTCAAGTATCATTGAATAGAAAGTGAACTATATTTAGAATTGAAAAAGATGAATGCATTTAACAGTGGTACAATGCAAATAGAATCAATCACCTATGTAATTAATTTTACAAATAGATGCATATATTTAATGATATGCTAACGTGGTGAAGTAATGTATCATTTCCATTTTGTTGATTTTAGTCTGAGGCTTGCTTTTACTTTCTATTTGAGCACACCATTGTAAAACTCACATCCTTTAGCTCTTATCCTGAGCTCACAAAAAGATGACAATAAATATGTTCAACTCACAAATTAAAGGGTTTTTTTAAATCATGAAACTGTTCATTGATTGCAGCTGATTATTAAAGAGTTTTTTAAATCATGAAACTTGTTAATTGCTAGACAGGGTCAACTTTTGATTGCAGCTGATTCATAATATGTGACTAAAATCTGCCAATGGAAAAGCAAAAGTGACACCAGTACACTCATGTCACAAAACTTCTACATATTCTTTGTGCTCAAGGATCCTTCCATTCATATCCCAGTGTGTCCCAAACTCTCAGATTGACTTCATGCTACTGTGTCATTTTGGAGACTTTGTAGCCTCAGGGTCAATTTTGTTAAGACTT